ACAGAGAAGAGAGCAGATGCAAATACTCCCAAGGACTCTTGGCTTCACTCTGGAAATTTCTAGCGAAGAGAACTGGAAACAAGCAGACCAGTTTTACAATGCTCTCAGGATTAAAAGACTAGTGTTATCTTGGCGTCTAACTTATTTTACCCATGACTCAACCTCAAATGTGAGAACCTTTTCCAAAAGGGCAGGAGAGGAGGATCGGATTTGACTGCAGGGCAGCACCCCCTCCCCAGGGCCTCAGTCGGCTGAGGTGAGGCCAGAATGTGTGCCGACCGCCTCCAGAACGCCCACCAGCCACCCCATACATCAAGAGGACCTTTTAATAACGTCCTTGTCAAAGGGACCAGTCTTCTTTTATGAGCGCCATAAAAAGAGGCGTGCCTGCTGCCTTGGACATGTGTATGTGGTAGTGCTAAAACGTATCAAGTCAAACTACTGAGCACAGCTCTGGTAATACTCCCAATAGAACAATTTTGCCTATCTGGCCACAATATGGATTTGGGGGTAAAAGGGACCCAACTCAGCCAGGCAGAGTAGCAGAGTTAAGAAAAGAAATGGAAGAGGCCACAGAGACTTCATTTCTGGGCTGAAAGACTAGAATTCTCTCACAGGGATGTTTTCCCCTGACAGAAACCCAGCACTGCTCAGCATCACAATGCTTAATGAAGGATTTATTCTCTTCGGAGCTAGAACCACTTGCAAGCGACTGAGTGGATACAATCATCCAGAGGCAGGGACAGATGGGGGAGATGATAGTGGCTGATGTAACCCCGGAGCTTCTCCAGTTCTAACCCTTGGCAGCCAGGACTTTGCACAAGGTCTCCATCTGCCCTGGAAGGAGTCCCTTTCAGGGAGACAGAACGGGGCAGGAACCTGAGCTGGGGGTGACGCTGGCATGTCACTACTCAGGATAACTGATAAAATGGGTAAGAAAGGCAGCTGGGACAACAGCCATCACAAGGGGCTCACACACTGTCTCTTTTCCAGGCCTTAGCGGTTTGTGGGACACAGAGTTGAACCCGGGCATCAGAAGCTACCCGGCCTTTTTACAGGGTGGCAAAAGTGGAAATAAGAGTTTTCCTTGTGCTTCTTTATCATCTACGCTCCAGCAGGTGGTCTGGGCTGGCAAGCAGGCAGGCAGCAATGTCAGGGGCAGCCACACCTTTCCCCTACTTGTGAACATCTTTATGCAGACAGCAGCAAGGGCTTCAGGAGAGGCCCTCTGACAGCAGGTTGCTGGATTCCCTGTTGCTGCATTTTGATAAACACGGTGGGGGGGCCTGCTGTCTCCATCCTCGAAGCAGATAGGCTGAACAGCAGGAGGAGAGGCCTGGGGAGGCGGTCATTCAGTCAGAGCACAAAAGAACAGAAAGCTGTACCTGATGCTGACCAACCTCCAACACCATCTGCCCTAGAGCTCAATCTCGATGGTTGTGTTCATGGCGAAGTTGGGAAGGGGCTCAAATAGGGCTGCACAAGATTTTTTAATCTGTAAGGCAATAAAAGACCCTAAATATGCTTCCTTCTGTTCGCTAAGCTTAGACATGTCTGTGACTTGAGCAAGTCACAGTATCTTCTTTTAGCAAAATAGCATAGTGGAGTAAATAGTATCGCACTGAGTTATTAGAACACTCAAATCAGATCAGAAATAGGTAGATACTGACAGTCCTGGGTTACAACTGATAAGCTTACAGCAGACTTACATCAAACGTACACACAACTTGTAGTTACGAACAAACTCTGGTAAAGCCTATTATACTAAAATCCTGCGGCACATACAATGGTTCATAGTAAGAAAAGGGTATGGCTTTGTGGCACACATCAAAAAGTTACTGTTACTGTATAATGATTTTAATGATGTGATTCTTTCATGTTTCTGATCCATAGAAAGGTACACTGTATAAAGTACAAACATTGGACTGGTGTTAGCTATGAACTAAACCTAACTGTTCTGATTTATATACAAATATGACTTAAAAGAACAGATTTAGGAATGGAACTTGTTTGCAATCTGGAGACTGTCTGTAATATGTTTATGACTACATATCTCCATCCTTTACCTATCTATATCTATGTATCATCTACTAGTGTTTTCTAAGCTACAAAAGAACATCTATAGCATACATGATACCTTTTATTCAAAAATGGAAGAAAACCCATCTGGGTAACGGGGTTCTTCTCTGGGGACCATATGCCTGGTGGGAGTCAGAATGGCAGAAAGATCTGAGTTAGCAAATGACAGGAGGGTGGCCAGATCACAGTGGGCAGCAAATACATGTACCCTGATGTGCTGAGAGGATGAGAAAGCCCAAGCCAAGAAGAGACCAGCCCCTCTTGAAGGCACTCTCACTGTTTGGAGGAGCCCAGGCCACATCAAGGTTACCTGGATTTCTGCACCTGAAAGTACTACAAAGAGCAGCATGTGTGCTTCTCCCGTCACTTGTTACCAAGCTCTGGAAAAGGATTGCTTGGACATTAGTTTCCATCCAGCCAGTCCCAGCTCATGGCAAACCCAGGCACGGCAGAATGAAATGCTGCCCGATTTCTGTGCCACCCCTGAAGCTGCGTACAGACCGACGAGACTCCCTGGGTTTCCGTGGGCTAACCTGCTCTGCATCCCACCATCACTCATGGCTCCCCTGGCAAAACAGTAGTAGCTGCACCTAAGGTGCACTGGCTGGGAATCAAACCAGGGTCTCCTGTGGTGAGACTCCTCCTGCTGACAAGATTGAAACAGGCTGGTATATCTGATTTCTTACCCCCACCCGACTCAGAGCACTTACAAATGAAGGGCAGAGGAGCAAACAGCACCATCAACTGACAGCAGGAAGAGGCAGGGAAGGGGACAGAAAGAAGGAGCAGATGGTAGATCAGCAGCATCCTTCACTAGAAGACATGGACCACTAATGGTAGGGGGCTAATCCACAGCTGCTATTAAAACCAAGATTATAATCTGCATCCGCCCCAGAAGAAAGGCAAACAGCCAGGGAAGGGGCTTTTGGAAGGGTGTGCAAGATTGCAATGCCAGAACCCTAGGAGGAAAATAGGTAAGTCGGACCATGGAAGGCGAAGACAAAATGTAAACTTGGGGCGTGAAGCCAGGAGGGGTAGCGGGGGAGGGGGGGGGGGCAAGAGCAAAGGTGGGAGGAGGCAGCCTGACACAGGAAAATCAAGGGGGAAGCAAGGGGAAAGGGAGGAGGTGGGTGCAGAAGAAAGTGAAGGTGAGGCAAGAACAAAACGTTTTAAAGTAACCCAGAACTCCATTGTGAAGGACAAGTCACGAGGCGCACACAGCTCCAAAGCAGGAGCCCCACATCCGCCCCACCCCCCACCCCGTGCAGCATTAACAAAACCCGCAGGTAAGCATGCTAAGGGGGCTGGGCAGCCCGCCACCCTGCCCTCGGGTGCCCAGGACAAGCCCAGAGGATGCAATGGGCTTGACAGCGGTCCCCTGTCTAAACCTCAGTACTGGAAAAACAGTAACACCTACAAGAGAAGAGATGTGGCTTACAGGTGTCTGCAGACTGGGCCTCTCGCCTGCCCCTGTATGCATCCACCTTCCCTTAGAATGGACAGAAGGGGCTGAGGGTCCAAGACTAGCTGGGCTCAGGAGCTGGGCTGGTGACCAATGCTCACCACTCCTGCTCCCTTGGCCACACCAGACTGCGTCAGAGCACCCCCGCAGTTCTTTCACACTCACGTCTTGCTCAGACAAATAAACCCCCCTTTAGGCTTCCTCTCACTTCCCCCTATGCAATGGCTAGTGTGTTTGTCAGAGCCTCCAAGAGGCAAACTGGTACAAAGGTTGCTCCCACCTTCTGAGTCCTCTCTGTCAGAGAGCTTTCTCAACAATTACCTGCTCTGTGGCAAGATGGCTCCTGAGCTTCCTATTCAACACAACAGAGAGGAAGGCGGCGGCAAGAATGCTTCAGACCCCAGATCTGAGCAAGTCACGTCAAGGTGGGGGTGAAGGGAGATGACTGGCGGGCCGAGCTAGTCTAAATACTGACAGCACAAGAGGAGGGAGGAAAACTCAAGCAAGTACTTTCCCCCTCTCTTGTTTTGCAGGTTTGAGAATAGCAAAACACCAAAGTCAAAACAAGAGGAGAATGTCCAATTCGAAACAAGCCTGGAAAGGTCAGGAGGCAGCGGAGGGCAGGGAATGCAAAACGCAGCAGTCAGGTGGGGAGGGGCCGCGCACGGAGTAGGGAGAGGCAGGAATTAATGCTGGAGCCTGGAGCTGACAAGTGCTTTAGTTACCCCTGGGTCACCCTCCCCAAGAACTCAAAAAGCCCACTCAGCCCATCAGACTCATGTGACAGGACACTTTCAAAGACTCCGTGTGGAGGAAGGTTTAGGCAAAAGAGACCTACTGTGGTCCACAGTATGGATACCAACTCACAGCGAGCCCAGGGGACAGAGCTCCCTGCGCCACATCTTTACAGAGGCAGCTCCAAAGGCTTACTTGTAAGTTAGCATCGCTGCACTTAGCTATTACACCATCAGGTTTCTTTGAGCTGGAAGGGAGTAGAACCCCAAGAAAATAGTCTGATCAAGGATACCACGGTGGACCGGCCTCAAAGGAAAACCCAGATGATTTATTTCCTTCCTTCCCTCCCTCCCTCTTCTGCTAAGGGGACCAACCACCACCCTGCTAGCAACCCGATGCTGCCAGCACAGCACAGCATCTGAGAAGCATCTCCAAAGAGGACGGGCACCAAGGGGAGGGATATGGTGCCTAAGGAGCAGCAGCCATCTTCTGCCACACTGGCCTGGGACCCAATGGGCTGTCTCTGCCCACAGGGACCGGTGAATCAGCACTGAGACTGACAGAAGGAGGAGTGCCCTGGGCATCGTCACCCTCTGTCCCTCACCCATCCTACTGCTCATAAATAATAACTTAGGAGCAAGAATGCCAACTGTCTGGGTTTGGACAGTAGCCAACTGAGCAGCCCTGGAAGACAGGGATAAAAAGCAAGAGGGTATATACTTACTCAAAGTCCTCAAACTCCAAGTCTGCACCTTCTACGGCCGGGCCCTGGCTATCTGAGGAGGAGGAGGAGGTGGAAGACCGGAGCCGGTTCTGCTGGTAGCGCATGGAGCGCTGGCGAATACTGTCTCTCCGCGAGAGGTACTGGATCATCCTCTGGGCGTAGTAGGCAGCAGGAGATAATCTGAGAGAGACAGAGATGGACAAACACACACTAGCACTAAGCGGGGGGACTCTGAGTGGCAGTAAATCCAGCTCTCCCATGACATCTCCCCACTGAGACGAACTCCCGAGAAATGAAAAAGAAAGGGCATTTAACTCACCAGGAGATCTGTACTGCAGAACATGCTTATCAGACTAACCCCTGTGTTTCTGGTCTGAGATAAGGCAAACAGACTGTTCAACCAGCCATCATCTCATCAAGAGCTGCCCCCTCCAAAGAAGACAGCACCGGGCCTTCCTTTGCAGCTTCTTAATGAAGCCCTTCAGCTTCTCCGGACGCCCTTCACACGGATTCACAGCTTTTCCTCAATCAGCAGCCATCTTCAAGATGTAAAGCATGCCGGGACCTCAGTGATCACCCAGAGACCATCTCCTCGTTCACTTTACAGAGATAGGGAGACTGAGGTGGATGAAGAAGGCATCCACAGGCAGCGTCTTCACCAGGCCTGCTTTCACCTCTATCCAATACGCAGAGCTCTGGATCTGGCCCCTCTACTTCAAACGATCTTTCGGAACCTCTCACCCCTCCCATCCTGGCACCCATAAATATTTGTAACATGGCGAAAATCAGACAGCTTTGAGAATGGAAAGATACTCAGAAAAACAGAAGTTCTAACAGAGAAAAAGAGAATGTTTTTAGAATCTTAGAATCAAAGGCTCCAGGGGTATTGTGCAATACGGAAGCACCGCTGATTTTTTTTCTTCCACCCTTCTCAGTAAATAGTTGGCCTGGGCCTAGGTTTTCAAGCTAGGGGTTTAGTTTATCTTGAGACTCCAAGTCACCTTCCTGGTGTCCTATATGCAATTCCCCACATCTCTCACAACACTGCGAGATGAGCTCAGTCTACACACTGAGGTGAGAGTAAAACAGGAACAGAAAAACCTCTTCTGTGATAATATCAAGTGGAGTACTAAAAACATTCGGGGCTTAAACCTGCCTGCAGCACACAAGTCCACTCAGTAATTCCACCAGGAATTTTATCCTATAGAAACACACAAGAACACAAAGGTGTAGGACGTGGTTCATTTGCAACAGTGCTAGTAATAGAGGAAAACTGGGACACATCCCAAATGCCCATCAACAGATTAGATCAATTCTAGCCAAACTAAGAAACACCATGTAACTATTAAAAAGAGTAAAGTATTACTACACACTCCAAAGAAAAGCAGGGAGAAAACTGGAGAATGGGATGTATGTATCGACTATTACACGTATATAAAAATGCACATTATTATAATTCAGGATCAAGCTAAAAGGAGACACAGCAATCAAAAGTGAGGGTTCTTGGGGATCTTTATACTTAATGCACTTCTGTAACACTTGTATATACCTGGGGAAAGAGTCTATCTTGTTATTACCATTTTTTAAAAATCTGATTTGAGCTGGAAATGGTCCTCCTCAAATGGTATGAAAGTATTTACAAACATCTTGCAACTTGACCTTTTTCATATCCCCGGACATGTCCTCAGTAAATGCACTGACCCAGGCCAAAGAAGACCCTGCTGTCAGCTGCTACCAGAAAGGAGGCTGAAATGCCTGTCACCAGAGGTCTCTCTCGTCTGTCTGACCAGCCATCAAATGGAACATCCTGGGCATGCTGGCTGACAGTCTTTGGAACTCAAATGTCTGCTGTGGAACAGTATGCTGCATTTGGCACCATGGAATCCCAGTATCTATGCAGAGCAGGTGGGCGTGGGTTATGCAGATGACTTGGCCAAGAAATCAGGGTAAGAACTTCCTCAACGGGTGGGGTTCTCACTTTCCCTTTAGGACCCTGCTCCCTAGCATTGTGCAAGGATAAGTCACATAATCCTAAATTTTCAAAAGAGAAAGCCAATACTCCTAAAATTTTTCTGCTGTCTACCAATTGTACATCTAGCAGAAATCAACCAGTTGTTGGGTAAATCCTCTATCAATAAAGACTAGAAAAGAAGGCAGTAGTAGAAACGTTTCAAGCAGAGAATGAAGAAATTTTTAGTTTTGTTTTAATGATTTTGAGAAACGATCACTGAGTGCATTCACTCTTTGGTTGACAGCCTCCCTTACAAATGGGGTGGGGGTGGGGGGTTATAGGTAATAGAATTAGTAATAACAACCCTGCTGCTGCTAATAAAGATAATCCTTTTGTCGGGGGTACAATTTCAGTCCTAGGTAACCCCAATGGAGTAGTTTCACTATTGAACTATATATAAGGAATCTATAAGCTGTGAAACAATGTGTCAATGGTTAAAAATAAATCAACCAAAAAAATCCTCCTGGCACACTATTAAATACAAATACACTCATGCTTCAACCCTTTAAAGTTTTCAGAGGGAGGCCAAGGACCTGAATGCTGAGGAGAAAGAGACCTAAGACTGACCTCCACACATGGTGACGCATACGGACAGTGACGCCTAAGCGGAGAAAGAAATGAAACCACTGGAATATGCGGTACCACTCCTCTTCCTTCTAAAGAGCTTGGGGAAACCACCAGCCAACCCTAAAATGTCTCAGGTGTAAATCTCAAACGTTTAAATAAGTTCTCATGATTTCTTAAAAAACAAAACAACACTTTCCCCTTCAAAACATATTCTGTGTTAAAAGGACCAACACCACAAAGCCTGGCACTTTCTGGGAATACAGAGATCAGAGTAGGAATAAATAGTAGATTTATTCCATGAAAGAACAAATATAGAACTTTGTCTTTAGGAAGCACTGTTGAATTCTGTCGGGCCCTATAAAGCACTATTCTCTAGCAAAAAGTTCTCTACCTCTGTGTTTCAAAGTAGTTAGGGTTATGCTCAGGTCATATCAGAGGCTAACGAACTCAATGTTTAGGCCATCGTCTGAATTGTGGGCCAATTTTGAAGGCATCAATCCCAGTGGGCCCTGATCCTTGGATTCACCATTTTGGGGTACAGGGAGGGAAAAAGAGTGCAACACAGGATCTTTTCACTTGTATCACAGAGAAGATGCTCAGTACCACAACACAAATGCAGTAACGAGGAAATCCTGTCACTCGCCCGGTGGACTAGGAATGGTGTGCCAAGCTCGGTGAGCTTTCTCTGACCTTGCCAACCCCACCACTGTAAATTCACCTGTCCTTTGGTAACGCCTTTCAATGTGCTTTAGGGTGAGACGAAGTACACACTATCCCCCTTTTAGATCACTAACAGGATCAGGAAATTCAGCTCTGGCCATCCGGAGGGGCTGTCTCTATAGCCTCCAAATCCGTGCCCTTATTGCCCCTCCTCTTTTACCAGCAGGGGGGCAGTGTGGACCTGGAACTCAACTGAATTTCTTTTCTCCTCTTTGAGAACTTTCCAAATGTCTTCTAAATTAGTTTGTGAAGCAAGCACTTGAATAAAATGCAGCTCGTTTTCTCTTCCTTCAGGGAGTCAGCCTCAAAAAGTCAACATCTGGATGAACTTGACTCCTGCCTTTTAGTTATATATTCTTCACGAATTAGAAATCCTCAATTTCTCACTCAGTTCTGTTCATTGTAGGTCATCTCTCATTTCTTCCTGAGGTCCCTCCTCTAGCCCCCTCCCCCAGCCCCTTGCAAAAAGTGCCCCAAAGGAAGACCACTCCGTCATGAACGTCTGTCAGCCCAGGATTCTGTTCACTTACCTGCAACCATTCCCAATCACCTGAACCACCTGCCTCAAAAATGTACCTGAAGAGTCAAAGAGCACCAGGACCAGAGAGGCACAAAGGGGGAGTCCAACTGCGTGGCAACCCCAAGGGCCGCCCCTCCCCCCACCTGGTGCCACTTCTCACTTTGGCCTTACCTCGCTGGGTCTGGGTAAATTGGGTGCTCTCTGGATCCTGCTCCATCATAACGGGATAAGGAAATGAGGGAAGACTCCAGCAGCCTCCTAGCAGAGATTAAAAAAATGGCGATAATCCCTGTCAATTACCAACTCAGAGGTCATTCATAAGGAAACACGGGAAAGATAAACAACTTCCCCCTTCGTTGTAGCCAGCTAGCACCTGAGCTCTGTAGGTAAGGATCACACCCTTCCTACAAGCTGAGAATTGCAAGTGGTGAGGGACTGAAGAGCTTCAGAGCGCCCACAATGGCGAGGCCACCGTGTTTGGTTGGCTCCTGCTTCCCAGCAAGAATGGCAGGCTGGCTCTGGCATGCTTACTTCTACTTGCAGTGCCCCCAGGAGACAGACAGAAGGCGAAGCTGACACAACAGAGAGGGGAGTGGGACACGTGTGGCAATGAGTGCAAACCCTTTACTTAGTGCTCTGTTCCTCCATGTCACCGCAATCCACATGGCCCCGTATCTTCTACTCCATCCCACTATGCCCACACACCCCTTTTGTTTCCCAAGCAAAATAACTCTTAATAACTCACAAACTTCTTTAATTACATAATCTAGAAAGACCAATCATAAATTCAACTTGGAGTATGTGACACAAGTTTTGAGGAATTTTTTTTTTTTAATTAAGTCAGACAATATACTAAGCGGCTCCCATGCAGTTCACCCCGGGCTGGAAAGGCAGGTAGGACAACACAGAGGAGCGCCCTGGGTCTAGAAGGGAAGCCCAGCACAAGGACTCTCTCTGTTAGGCACTAACACCAGGATGCCAGGGAAGGCCTCTCTCAACTCCAAAATGCCTCAAACCATTCGGCTCCAGGGCCTGGTCAGGTGACCTTGCAAACGTCCCCACCAGGAGTGACAGACACTGGCAAACAGGAAGGCCTGTGTCCCATCACTTAGCTCCAGCAAACTGTTAGCATGCTGGAATGTGGGCTTAGCATTGCTGGCTCTTCCTATGTTTTCAGAGAAGCTGTAAGTATGGATTTTTGCCCAGAACCTCCTGATGTGAGCTAAAAATACACAAAACAAAACAGCCTGGAGGGAGGGGGAAAGGTGTGTACAAGGACCAGTTTAAATACACCTGATAAATGTGGCCCAGGGACCCCGGTTTTCCATGTCTGCCACACTGCTTCCAAACTCCAGCCTGCCCTGATGGGAACCAACCTCCTGCCACAGGACAGGATTCACAGGACGGCCTGAGAAAGTAGTGCCGGTGGCCCTATGCAGTGGCCCCCACTCAGCTCTCCCAGGAGGTTTCTGGCTCCCTGCCAGAGACCCTGCTTTCAAGCAGAGGTGCAAGAGAAGGGCAGCAGCCACCAATCTTCCCCAGTTGACTTCATTCCATTCCCTGTTATGAAAACGAATGGGCTGTAGGTACAGCCACGTGCAGTTACTTAAGCCAGCCATGGCATTTCTCCTCACAGCAAGCGGGTGGAAGAGAGAGCAGAGGTTCTATCAGTGAGGCTTGTGAGCAAGTTTTCCTGCCCAAGCTGACCACATGCTAAATGGTGCTTTTGATCCGGACAAGGTTTGTAACCACAGACTCCTGCCCTCACCCCTTAGCCTCCCCTCCTGGGACACTTTACCCAGTTCTACCACAGATGGGAGAAAATGAAAGAAAGCAATAAAACACAGCTCCTCCTCCTTTGAGAGGCTGACCCTTCAAGGAATCTACATTTACAGCAGCAGAAGAAATGCTGGATTTTGTCACTTCTAAAATATACTTGAAAAATAAAAATAAAACCAACATTTCTTTACATGTCTCAACTGGGATACATCTTACAATTGTGGGTCACCGTTTAATTGGCAGGCTTTCCCCCCTTCATAGGGTCACATACAATACAGACATATCTTTGAAATACAACAATCTCTGAGAGAGATGGCGAGAGGTACATGGGTTGGAGAGGAAATGAGCAAAATCTTGAGAAGTGTAACTAGATTCGAGACATTACATCTGCTTCTATTGGCAGTACTTTCCTCATTCCTAATGAGCGCGTTCTACAGGGATTGGGTGGGAGCTGAAGAACGGAGGCCAGATCTGGAAGCAGCTTCTTCCATCACACTGTGCTCTCTCTCTCTGGGGACTGCCCTTGATCCCATTGAGCCTGCCCTGTTAGCCTCCAAATGGCCGCCCACTGAGCAGAGGCCTTTGGCAAGGAGGATCCTCCAGAGTAACCCAAACATATCCTCCCTAAGTCCTTCTGGGAGGCCTGGTGGCACAGTGGTTAAAGTGTATGGCTGCCAAATAAAATATTAGTTGACTTCCACATAAAGGCTTACAGGCTTGGAAACCCGATGGGGCCGTTCTATTCTGTCCTATGGAATCCTATGAGTCGGAATTGGCTCAAAGGCAGGGAGTTTGTGGATGTTTAGCTTTGTTTAAGTATGTCTGCTTGGAAAGTAATCCTGGGGATTAAGTTAGGAGGTAAATACAAGGGATGGGGGTCTCTTCAAAAAGCTTATGAAAAAATGAAACTGAAAGCTAGCGAGAATTTTCCATGAACTCTCTGAAGCCCCCCACTGTGCCAAGGCAGTGGCAGTGTACAATGAGTGACAGAGTCTGGCGATGCAGGAAAGGTTGTCAGCACTAGAACAGCATGGATCAGAGAAATCTGCCTTTATGCTTCCACGTTCTAATTCTCCGACATTGACTTCCCACCTTACCCTCCTCCTATCTACATTAGGAAGTGTTCCCTTTTTTTTCCCGTATGTTAAATATTTTATTTTGTAATCAAAATAGGCAGTACAAACCAGTTAACATAACAAAGATTGATATAAATACCTGCTTATAAACTTTACAAGGAAAAATACCCATAAGCATGGTGGCCGGGCTTCAAACACGAGGCAGAGACCAGTCAGGCGGCTCTGCTTTCAGAAGCAGGAGCCCAGAAGCTGAGGGCAGGGCAGCGGGGGCTGCTCCACTGGAAGGGTAGAGTCCTTCCAGGGGTCCAACACCATGGAAAAACCCTTCTGAATGTGAGGCATTCAGACCCAGGAGGGAGGTCCAGGATGCTGCTCAGGGGCTCCTGAGCTGCTGGGGCTCCTTTGTTCCCTCCCGGTCCCTGCTTGGCCTGGCTTCCAATCTAGGGTCAGCCTGGGCCAGTCCCAGGAGCCAAACACCAACAACTGTGAGATGCCCTCTAAACCAAGAAGGCAAGATAACCCAGTAAAGCAGAGGGTCCAAAGACCCTATACAAACTCAGTCTCCAGAGAGCCCCCAAACAAGCTTCTACTGGAACATGCATCCCTTGTGCCTACTTAACTACAGAATCGGCTGGCACCATTTGCTTTCCAGGCAATACAGTGGGCTCGGCACACCCCATCTGTCTGTATCACTGCCAAGATACAACATCCAAAGACCAATCACTAGGAATAGTCTCCCTTCACGTGCATTACTAATGCTGCATAAAGTCGGTAGAGTTAACAACATAAGTAATAACGGAAGGAGTGAAAAACGACTTTTCTAAGTGCAGATGAGTAAAGAAAGAACTTGAGTTATCAAATGAGTAATCATCACTACCACTGCTAGGAAGCTCAAAGAATGACCTTGGTTCCTTGCAAACTAACTTCCTGCAGAGTCACACAGAGCTGTCATTGGGGAAACAGCACAAGAAAGCCTTATCAGGTGGCAGTTCCACACTTCAGCTCTGGCCATCAGAAATTTGACTTGATTCTATTATCTGCCATGTAATTCAGAAATGCAAAATCAGAGAGGGCTTAGAAAAGCCTCGGACAAGCTTGTTCAAACTGGAAGCTGCATTTCACTGTGACCTAAGATCTCAATTTAGAAATGGATTTCTTGTAGAAAACACGTACACCTGCTTGCCACCTATTCTTTTCTCTACAGCTTGCCTGGTTTATTCTATCTGTGGTGTCCAAGCGAAGTATGTTACCTTGATCCGTAGAAGAGCAAGAACAAATGAGGCTTTATAATGCAATAATCATAATATATTTAATACACATATATAAAGGAATCCTGGTGGCACTGTCAGGTAAGCTGTGAACTACTGCAGGTTGGTAGTTCAAAATTCACCAGTGCTCCGAGAGAGAAAGATGAGATTTTCTGCTTCTGTAAAGACTTTAGTTTCAGAAACAATGCCGGTGGTTGCTATGAACCAACTCTATAGCGGTGGGCTTTGTTTTATTTAAGGATTGTGCAAGAATCTTTAATTAACAGAGTCTGATGGTTACAGGTCTTAGAAGCTTTTTTAAAAACTAGTATATTTTAAATGTGTATTGTTGAATGGAAAACTGATCAGCTCTGTAAACCTTCACCCAGGGAGGGGAGAAAAAGGAGAGGTTGGCACCAACGGCTCAAGTAGAAAGAAAATGTTTTGAGAATGATGGTGGCAACAAATGTATAAATGTGCTTGACACAATGGATGTATGGATTGTGCTAAGAGTTGTTGAGTGCCCAATAAAATGATTGTAGGCTCTCCTGCCCTCTGCCCGTGCTGTGTGCAAACCTGGCTGTCCAGGAGGAGCTGTAAATTCCTCGTTGCAAGGAAACCATGCCAAGTGCCAAAGTGATTGAAGAGCCAGCTTTCTCGTCATGCATCCCCAGTTTCACAAATATCACGTGAGATCTTGAAGCCAAGACTCTGTGACACTTGAATATACCACAGAAGTGTCTTCTGCCCAAGACTCCTCGCACCTCTTCAGCTCAAAGCAAGAGCCAACCTGACCTAAGCTCTCCCGCGGTGACCAAGCAGCTTGACTGTGACCTGGAGACCATTGAGAACAAAGCAGAGTCCACCCTCAGCAACTTCACCAAGTACCTCCCAGCCCTCCAAGGATTTTAGGAAGGCCCTGCGCCTGACCATGCAGGTGGAAGAGCAAGCCAGCAAACAAATCGGCAAGAAATAGCCCCAGTGAGGACTGCCAACAAATTTTAAAATAATGTAAAGTTTCCCACAAACTTTTTGAAGCCTCCTTGTATATCTATCACACAACTGTCACCTGTTCAATTATTTACAGGTTTAAGCAATTACAAGAATGTGTTTGCAAGCGTACCCTTCCATGATCCATGTAGTTTTTCCATCCCCG